CAAGCGACTGACATCAACCAAGAGAATATCTCTTGCATCAACATATCGTGTTTTTAATAAAAGATGGTTAAAAAAATGACACACTCTTTAAAGGGTATAAATTTACGAATTTTCAGGGAGCGTAAAACCTACTTACAAGAATGTTGATTAAAAAAGCTAGTTACCTCAGAAAAAACAGGAGCTAGAGCCTTGTATATACAGAGAATATTGAATTTGAATAACAATTAGCAGGATGCAGGAAGTTTCGAAGTTCATTATCGATGCCATCTATTGGTCATCAGTTATCGTTCCTTGAGCGCAGACTAAAGCGCTTTTATACCTAACGTACTATAAAAGTTTGAATTGGTTGTCATAAGTAATTTTATCTCAGCGGTAACTTGTCTGACCATGAGTTGCTGCACGCTTTTTCCCTATGGTATATGGTAGAACCTTCCCAACAGCTGCGCTTATCTGTCTGGGTTTGCCTAACTACGGTGAAATCTATTTTCCTGTCCCCATATTGACCGGACACTCTGTCTTACGCGGACGTCACTGAGATTCTGTCTCCATACAGTCCTTGTCAAACGAGCTTGTGAAGTGGCGAAGAGATGTATCAAATAACGCCAAAATTAAAAATGTTTACCTTTTATCGCGGACGTTTCCCCAGTTCAGATATGATAGGTACTTTCGTAAGTCAAGCTATACAAGTGTAAAAGTGATACAATGCACGGGCTTGAACCGCGTCGAAGCCTAAATTTTTGTTCAGGCTTGTTCTCTGAACTTCCTTTAATTATAGTTTACCTGCATTGATCATGTCTTCATTTGATTTTCTAATCGATTTTAAACACGTCGAAGTCACGGGACATTAGCTGTTTTCAAGTTACGTGAACTGAGATGAATGCAAATGATCACATATATTTGAACTACAATGTTGTCCTTGCCTATGTATGAATGCCTTTCTTCCGGCGAAATTAAAACTGTTTGGAAGAAAGGGATTGGAACTAGACAAAGTAATTAAAAGGTTCAAATATCTGTTGCCTACATTATGCATACAACCTGTCATTTTGGTCTCTTCTGCCGAGAGAAATATGTGATATAATTAGCAGGAGTAATTATAGGTCATAATTATGATTGCAAGTCCACGGCTCGCTGATGCGGCTTTGTCGCGTGAATCGGGGAAAAAAGAAAAAAATATTTTTTAAGGCACATAATCTTCTGACAAGATCGAATGAGATCGGAAGCAGCGAGATATCAGAAACAAATATAGACAGTTGTGGCAGCATCTAATTAATGGGCCAATGACGCATTATTAGATTTTGAGAGTTAAATTCTTAGTTGCGAATAGGTAATTGTTTGCTTTTCAAGAGTATGAAATTCACAAGTATCTTTGAAACTTGTAAGAAAATAGTTTTTAAGCAGTTTTTGCACAAATTGAATTGTAACAAGGATAATTTCGTAGACATATTTTCAAATTCATCGGCGCAATCTTTCCGTCATATATGGTTATAATCTAATAATTCCTTTATAAACCGAGCCTGTTTGATACAGACTGGTGGTATCGGCGTGTTTGCTCACTGCGTTTATATGGAACTGGACTTCGTCTCGAGCCAGTACAAAAGCAGAAAAAAACAGAGAACACGAAAAGGGATATATACTTTGGGCTCGGTCAATACTGCGTCTTAATTTTCATCAGAACTGAATCGCTTTGTTGTGGAAGGTCGAGATGAAAATCTACAAATTCGATTCTTTGTTACGTTTTTGATCTAATATATGTGCAATTTGGAGAAAGAATTGCACAGAGAAAGATATTTTACTTTCTATGCAGGAGAAGTGATTAAAAAGAAAAACTACTCGTAATTCGAGAATTAAGACTATTTTGGACAAAACAAAAAAAAAAAAAAGAAGAGAATCATAAAGAAAGTAAAAATATATCAGTGGCGTAATTTACGTACCTGTAGACTTCCTTTGTGCTTAATTGAATGGCTCGAAGTTTACTATCGGGTAGGTTGGACAACAAGTTTTCTCCAGCAGTCTCGTATCACGTTAATTACAAATAAAATCGACGATACGAAACATGTCGAGCACAGCTCTTTTGATTTGCTCCGCTCCGATTGTTAGCTCCAAGAACACAGGATGTTATTGGGGCTATGCTTGCATTTCAGAATAACTGATATTCACAAGAACCGTCCCAGGTTGTCGGAAGGACACAACTTTTGTTTACAATTTTAGGAAATTCTGTCTGTCGTTTTGGTTGCATAACCGTCACAGATTCAATGCAAAGATGCCTCGGGGGAGATTTGATATTTTGATATTCTCCTTAATGCTCAATTGGCATCATTAGAGACCATGAGAAATAGATTTTTTTATTTTATTCTTATTGCTGAGTAGTTTGTTGGTATCAATTATGCGGGAGAGTAGGAAAAAGTCGCTCTTTCGCAAAACATCTGGGATCAGCTATGAAGTTTGATAAATTTAGTAACACTTCATACAAAGTAGGCACCAATATCAAGCACTTACCTTGATACAGGACTAGTTGAGGATGTTGGTGATGTTTTCTTCCTCGTAGAATCATAAAGAATCTAGCGATTTTTGACCACAATTTTTTCAGTTAATTTTTTGTCAGCAGGTGTTTGCACTAAAGTGCTAAAACCCTAATATGGCATTTCACTGAACTATTCCTTTACACAAGATGACACACACCAGCCAAAAGTAATTTTCTGACATAACCGATGTATTTCACACGATTTTCCTAATCAATATCAATAGACCTGAATACAGCACAGCGAAAGGGAACGGAATAGTTCACATAAAATTGAATAAGATGACATCAAACAAACCTGGTAGGAATATATTAAAAAATAAATACAAACAAACAAAAAGCAAAAAGCTTAATATATCTGTCCTTGTCAATATATGAANATATCAGTATTTGAGTTGATGATAACATAGTAAATGACAGTTTACGAACTATTCTCTGAAAGTGTTTCACCTCAGCTACTATGTTTCTGCTGTCAGAGCCTTCGCGTACAGCCCATAGCTTCAAACAAATTTAACAATTTGTTTTCCTAAAATTATTTCATTATACCAGGAAAGGACTTTTTTCTAAAGGTGCATATTCACCAGGTTTTCCCTTCCATTTGAATCTACGAAACGACATTCTCCAGAGGAATCGTAAACATGCGCGTTTATTCGTCTCCCAAGCTCAAAATCTACCATCTCTCTTAATGTATCAACTCACACGAGGCTTGTACGACACAAGAAAATGCTAGAGCTTAGCTCGCTAGCGAGTTCTCTGATCAGTAGGCACTTAGTTGGTAGAGCAATCCAACATGATGTTTCATGCTCGTTTAAAAATGGCTGACATCTTCCTTTATGTGACAACCGGGCTCAAAATTTAGCGTCGCTCTAAATCTATGACTTTCTCCGGTCCATCATTGTACCTGCTGTCGCTTTACGTGCCGCGTTCCAGCTGCGTCCTTGAAACTTTTCATGAAAAAGCTCTTACAACGCTGGAATTATTTTTAACTGCGTGCGAACAAATAATGTGCCGGAAGCAATCTTATCTTGGACTATATTCTTCACTGTTTTCCACTCACGTACAGTTTTTTGAAAGACATCTGAAAACCCAAACCGAGAATTGTAGGTCATTTCAGGTTCTTAGGGTCGAGAAAAAAAAAACACTGATGTCGAGTGCCAAGGGAGGTGATCTTTTATAAAGGTGTATCCCAAACTGTATCGACAAATTATCATGCGAAATCAAATCATGCAATCATACTTGAAATAAGTAGGAATCCATTGGTCATGGCATTTGTTTTACTTGCTTTGGATTACTAGAGAAAAAGTATCATCTTAATCTTTTACCATGAGCTATTTTTGAAATCACTAATAGATCTTACTTTATTTCATTAGCTTAATGTTTGACCGCGACTCAGGCCACAAAACGTTCTTAGAGGATGTATTTGAAAACGAGGCAAGGATGATTCCTGGGGGAAACTGGAGACCAGCCTCTGCACCTTGGACGAATGTGGTAAGTCTGTGATAATCTCAATGCCCGTTGAAGCCCTAAATGTAATAACTTCTCTAAATGTAATTAAGTCCTAAATGTAAGTCCATAATGTAAGTACATAATAAAGTCCTAACTGTACTAAGCCTCAAATGCAATAAGTTAACTGTTCTTGCGCATTTACATTGAGATGTTAAAGCGACAACTGTTGCACCAGAGAATCCTCTGACCAAAACTAATGGCGTATTGCGGGCTCGCTCGCTGATTTTAATCGGTTTTTTTTTTTGTTTGAGACGTAGGCCGAGAAGCATGTACTAAAACCAGGAACACCGGAACACCCCGGAACACCGAATTTGACGGTGTAAAAAAATAAAATGTAGATGTAATTTGTTTACCCACGTAACACGAAAGAGCTTAGAAGCTAGAAGCAGGCGCTAAATATATAGTTTCTTAATGTTTCTTATCTTATTTCTTTTTGGTATAAATAAATGTTGTTGTTGTTCCGGTGTACCGGGTTGTTCCGGTGTTCCTGGTTTTAGTACATGCCGAGAAGCATTGGCAACAAACCTTCATATTGAGGTGCTTTCGGCATCAAATCGACAGATCCCAAAAACAATAGAACGCTGACCAATCCGGCCATCTTGACCCAACAGGCTTGGTGAAGAAATTTTATATTTACGGCAAGTAATTTTTCACGGAAAAAATGCGTTTTCTTTTTAGTAATTACGGATAACGGAAAGTATTTTCTTTGTTTGACGTATCGCCACTGGCATATCATTCACAGTTCACGGCTTGTAACTTTTTACAATCACGAGTCACGGCAATTAAAAACAGCCAATCACGTTTCACGGAAAACCCCCACATTTACATTTAGGCATGGAGACGAGACAGACGAGACAAAATTATTTGTCTATTCATTTACTAATGCACAAAAACCTGCGACTAGTTGTTAAAGAATCATCGCATGAAAACTGAAAATTCTTAACTTTGGGATCCTAAAGAAATTTATGAGAAGACAAATCCGAATCTGCGGAAGCATTGTAGCAGTTGTAAACGAACGATGTAGTTAATTTGATATTACCCCCAGTGTTTTTTACCTATTCAGACTGGGAACAATCTAAGACGTAGGAAAGAACTGAAGCAGAAACTGTTTCCAAACAGAATTTACATAAACTTCAACATTGCCCTTATTGAGGGATACAACTCGTTAATCGACAGCAGATAAAGGCGTATTCTTTGCATTTTCTTCTCAATACATAGGACATTGTCTGACTGAGCGTCCCCCATAATATCGAAAGTGATGACGCAGGAATATTAGCAGCTGAAGGCTTTTGCCTCAACTTTAAGTTAGACTTTGAGAGGTATTTCTTTTACTGTGCGAGAAGGTTGGAAGATGTTCTTGTTTTCCGCGATGAGCGATCGTCTCGGTATTTGGTTAAGGTATTTGCTTTCTCTTTTCTGTTGTGACTGTTTAAAAAGAGACTACCGTAATTTGCGGCCGTTTACCCGCGGGTAATCTGTTGATTTGCCTTAAACACGCGCCACTGCGGGTAATAGGGAGGTGTGGGTTATGTGACAATTTTGAAATCTGCTGGTAGTTGAATTGAAAATAATTCTCACCTACCTGCTTTTCCACCTCTCAAATGATTTTTATCGTATCCAGAGTGCCATGAAGCGGCACGAAAACATGATGCCGACTCAAGTTTATTTCACACATACCATCTTTTCTTGAATAGAAGCCGCCCTTGATTAGAAGCCGCCTTTGAAAAATAGAAGCCGCCCTTGAATAGAAGCCGCAGAAATTCCGTGAAAAGAAAAACTAGAAGCCGCCCTTGAATAGAAGCCGCATTATTTTCGTTTTGAAAAAAACATAGAAGCCGCAGCTTCTATTCAAGAAAATACGGGAATTAGTTGCGCGACGAAATATGTGTTATCCGCACGCGTGTAAACAAAACCTTGCTGGTGACAAAAATATTCCAAGTTAACACTAGCTTGAGCTGACGAGAATTTTCCTGTTTTAAGGTAATTGTTAGGCCCAGTAGAACCAGAGATATCGATTTTTTTGAAATCAACAAATCAACATGGCGCTGAACGATCGCTCGCACAAAATGTGGCCACGAATTCGCATTCTGTCAGGGATGAAACGTTGTGAATTCTAGAGCCTTTTTTTCTTTACCAGTGCGGGTAATCTGTTGACTTTTCTTTTCGTAATAAGGGACATCGATCAGAAAGCGACAACATGTAGCGATCTTTCTTGTCCTGTCAAGAAAGATAAATCTAATTGGTGGTCATTCTTGTTATATACCTACCTTGAAATTCAAGTTTCTTGACGGCACACAATAAGACTGATTAGCGTAATGACTTATACATTGGAAATGCGCCAGTACATCACAAAATTCATCCTGAAACTTGCTCTCAGTGTTAGGAAGACGGCTGAGGTTGCAATCCGACCGAGTCCTTCTATTGTTGTTGAGAAAGAGGAAATGTGGCGTGATGTGCCACAGAAGGGAAATTTCCCTTTTGAATTAAGACAATTCATCCCAGCGGCATTACACAATCCGCACTGGATACTCTGAAATATGACCTTAAGAATAAACAGACAGAAGTTCAAAGAAAAAATTATTTTAAAACCGTTCGATCTTAGCATAGGTTTAAAAATGAGCTATTTACAAAGCAAACATTTATTTGAAAAGTAAAAACCAAATGTTTTTTACACTAGGTCATTATCGGGGTAAATAAGTACCGTCCGCTAAATAACATATTTTATATCGTATATATGCACGATCCTTCGCAGTAAAGCACTATTTGAGCAATAGTGAAAATCAGACCTGAAAAAAAAATTTCAGGCCTGTACGGCTTGTTAGCTCAATTGGTAGAGCGCTGCACTAGTATCGCAGAGGTCAGTGGTTCGAATCCCGTACAGGCCTGAAATTTTTTTCAGGTCTGATTTTCACTATTGCTCAAATAGTGCTTTACTGCGAAGGATCGTGCATATATACGATATAAAATATGTTATTTAGCGGACGGTACTTATTTACCCCGATAATGACCTAGTGTAAAAAACATTTGGTTTTTACTTTTCAAATAAATGTTTGCTTTGTAAATAGCTCATTTTTAAACCTATGCTAAGATCGAACGGTTTTAAAATAATTTTTTCTTTGAACTTCTGTCTGTTTATTCTTAAGGTCATATTTCAGAGTATCCAGTGCGGATTGTGTAATGCCGCTGGGATGAATTGTCTTAATTCAAAAGGGAAATTTCCCTTCTGTGGCACATCACGCCACATTTCCTCTTTCTCAACAACAATAGAAGGACTCGGTCGGATTGCAACCTCAGCCGTCTTCCTAACACTGAGAGCAAGTTTCAGGATGAATTTTGTGATGTACTGGCGCATTTCCAATGTATAAGTCATTACGCTAATCAGTCTTATTGTGTGCCGTCAAGAAACTTGAATTTCAAGGTAGGTATATAACAAGAATGACCACCAATTAGATTTATCTTTCTTGACAGGACAAGAAAGATCGCTACATGTTGTCGCTTTCTGATCGATGTCCCTTATTACGAAAAGAAAAGTCAACAGATTACCCGCACTGGTAAAGAAAAAAAGGCTCTAGAATTCACAACGTTTCATCCCTGACAGAATGCGAATTCGTGGCCACATTTTGTGCGAGCGATCGTTCAGCGCCATGTTGATTTGTTGATTTCAAAAAAATCGATATCTCTGGTTCTACTGGGCCTAACAATTACCTTAAAACAGGAAAATTCTCGTCAGCTCAAGCTAGTGTTAACTTGGAATATTTTTGTCACCAGCAAGGTTTTGTTTACACGCGTGCGGATAACACATATTTCGTCGCGCAACTAATTCCCGTATTTTCTTGAATAGAAGCTGCGGCTTCTATGTTTTTTTCAAAACGAAAATAATGCGGCTTCTATTCAAGGGCGGCTTCTAGTTTTTCTTTTCACGGAATTTCTGCGGCTTCTATTCAAGGGCGGCTTCTATTTTTCAAAGGCGGCTTCTAATCAAGGGCGGCTTCTATTCAAGAAAAGATGGTATGTGTGAAATAAACTTGAGTCGGCATCATGTTTTCGTGCCGCTTCATGGCACTCTGGATACGATAAAAATCATTTGAGAGGTGGAAAAGCAGGTAGGTGAGAATTATTTTCAATTCAACTACCAGCAGATTTCAAAATTGTCACATAACCCACACCTCCCTATTACCCGCAGTGGCGCGTGTTTAAGGCAAATCAACAGATTACCCGCGGGTAAACGGCCGCAAATTACGGTAGTCTCTTTTTAAACAGTCACAACAGAAAAGAGAAAGCAAATACCTTAACCAAATACCGAGACGATCGCTCATCGCGGAAAACAAGAACATCTTCCAACCTTCTCGCACAGTAAAAGAAATACCTCTCAAAGTCTAACTTAAAGTTGAGGCAAAAGCCTTCAGCTGCTAATATTCCTGCGTCATCACTTTCGATATTATGGGGGACGCTCAGTCAGACAATGTCCTATGTATTGAGAAGAAAATGCAAAGAATACGCCTTTATCTGCTGTCGATTAACGAGTTGTATCCCTCAATAAGGGCAATGTTGAAGTTTATGTAAATTCTGTTTGGAAACAGTTTCTGCTTCAGTTCTTTCCTACGTCCTAGATTGTTCCC